TTGAATAATAATTATTAAATAGAAGTATGAAATAGGTGTCTTTAATTTGGTTATAATAATTTATTTTGTCTTTTGTTGTATGCTTGCTGACGATATAAAATAGAGATAGATAAATAATTGATCTATCTACGTAAATCGTACAATGCAAGATTTATTTATAACTCATTTATCTAAGATCATTTTGGTTATATTATATTGTAACCTTAAGTGGTGGCAACTCTTAATTCATACTAATGTAGTCTGATTTTCCATTAGGATACACTTTGAATAAAATCCTTATAAATCAACAACATTCAACCTGCGCTTACTTGTTTATCTACTACAAGAATAAATAATTGATCTAAGATATTTAAAGTGTTGACCCACATACAGCTGGCTACTTCAATTTACTCTTAAACTCCTTACAGAGATGACACGTCCATGGTTAAGAAATTCCTTTTGTTGCTTATTATTTCGATATTAAGTAATTACTTTTAATTTAAATTACTATCAAATATAGATAGGTTTTTTAAACTAATATTGTGACGAGGAATTTGTGATAAATATAATAAACCAAAGAAAATTCTTCAGCTGCAATATACATAATAAAAGAGATTCTACACATGCAATCCTGGAATGGGTTTTCTAGTTATCAATATGCAAACAACACAAATCAATTTAATTATAATAGTATAATATTTTATTTATTACTGAGCTTATACGATTATACGGTCTTCAAGATATTTCCGTGACCGGAGTTACATGTTGTTTGGCGACGAAATGCGAAACCGGCAGACCTTCGGGTCGGGCGTGGACGGTCGACGACTTGGTAAATTCTTAACATCACGGCCTCTAAAGATAATGCACCTGTAATTTACAATACCACCGAATAAATGGACAATCAGGCTGCAATATTTATTTATACTCTCACTATTATATTTTTGATGTCCCTAGCAACGACAATGTTTTGTTGTGATTCCTTATTTGTATTAGTTAATATTTATTGCTATTCAATTATAACTAAATATTGAAGAAAAAACTGGCTTATTTAATAATAGATATACCCTTTTATCTATCTGTATATGAATTACTTCTTCTTGTAGATTTTTATTTAAATTGGCAATATAAACTTTTTCATACATTTCTTTCTTATTCATAATTTCATATATATATTTCTGTGCATTAATTATAACAAATGAGGTGAGCCGCATATGTCTGCTATATTTTCAACTATTGCAACTATATATATATATATATATATATATATATATATATATATATATAGTTGCAATAGTTGAAATATATATATAGCATGGTATAATATTGCTTAGAGCCTTTCTTGATAAACGGGCTATCAAAAAAAGAATTTTCATAATCAGATAACTACCGGAGATTACCCGGAACATAACAAACTTTACCTTCTTATTATATTAAAATAGAGAAGTATTATTTATTATAAACGTACGCGTATTATTAAGGTAAGCCACATTATTGTTTCCGTGTAGTGAATAAATTATTATTTAACATAACAGTCGATCATATATATAAAGTATTTGAAATGACAAATATAATACTTATAAATATTAATATATTGTTAAGGAACATTACAGTTTAACTTCCATATTCTTAAATGTTAGAGGTTGCGTACTTTGACACTGTATTACTATATATATATACGTATATATATATACATGAGATATAGTCAGCACAATATCCATTTCGACTCTAGACATCCTCTATCCAAGTACATACACATATATGTATTCTCATATTTATCTGTCTACTAAATTTGGACGGAGGATAATTTACGATCAGTAATGAGAAGTGGACCTATGCTAACTAAAAACTATTGTGGTTGATTTATATCAAGTTCCGCGGAGAGAAAATACAATATTAAAGAACAACGGTACAGTATAATATATATTTTTATAAATTACATAGAATATGTTATCATTACTATTTTACATCTATTATTTGATTTACTAGTTCTTTACTACGGTGACTATGTCAAGAATTTTCATTACATTTCCCATTTGTAGATACAAGTGTAATGATCTCTGAGAAAAGAGACATCTCTCTTGTCAGTAGTTATAAAAAACTAGTTATTATAGTAACATACACTATGAGTACCATTGGAGTCTATAGTATCATTTTAAATTTATTTAATTATCTAATTTACTTGTTTATTGGCAACATTAATTATATCCAGTCCTTACATGTAAGTATGATAATTATTGATGTCTTTTAATATTTACAAAGAATTATTACAAAATATTGACTGATTGTCACGCATACTGAATAATATAAACATTGATGGAATGTGTACACATTATATGAACGGGTATTTACCATGTTCATATTATTTATGAGCTCTCGATATTTCGACACTGTCATAAATGTCCTGGTGACTAAAGAAGTAAGAAAAGTAGAAGTTTATACTTACGACAAATATTCTCACTGCATCCTAAATATTAGAATCACGCATTAATATCCAGTACATAATATACTAGCTACCTACTCCGACTTTGCACGGGTGTACATGTATTATACATATAAACCTTGCTCTTGAATCACTCTATCTATCAAAAAAACCGCTTCAAAATCCGTTGCGTAGTTTTAAAGATTTAAGCATACATAAGGACGAACAGAGAGCGACAGCGACTTTGTTTTATACTATGTTGTGATACAATTGTAAAAAACTCTAAGACAGTTTTGCTTGAATGTAATATTGAATGCTTTACACAAATAGGTGAAATACGACGTATATTCTGTGACGACACTAGTATCATTACACAGCATCATAAATTGCAATCAATAGGGTATTGTCATCTTTTTATTGAAGCGCTTTATGCGTCATATGCAGAATAAGAATAAAACAATATAACTATTATTAGATATTAACCATAAGAATTTTCAAAAATAATTTCGTAACGGATTCTCATTTCATTCACTCATTTAAAATCGTTTTAAATGAATTAAACATCCATTGAGAAATGTTTTTTGAAAATACTTATAAGAATGGAAATAGGTTAACCCGGTGGAAGTGGGTCAGCTAATAGCATGCATCTACGTATTTTATTATTTATAAGATAATCCCATTATGATATTATAGATGCGAAAGTACAGCAGTCTCGAGGGAAACCAGTGTAGTGCTAAACTAGTCTATATTAGCACTTAATCAGATGAAATTTTAAATCTAACCCAAGTCATGATCATGCAGTAAATACATATACACCTATTTGTTACTTTTTCACGACTGAACGGTGAAACGTATTTGACGAGAAGATTCACGAGGTTGGACAAAAAAAGCAGCTACGTCTGCTTAGTCTTAATCTACGTCGGCGAGTAAAAGTTAGTATGTTATATACATGTATGACACTATTGTTTACAAGAGTATGATTATTGTTACGACAGCATAATGTATTAAGGGTAATACATTATCAACATAGTATTCGCCTTGTGAATCTAGCCTTGGATAAAAGCTGTATAACGTTGAAGACAATTGCTCATTTATGAGAAATTACCTCTGGTGTTCTATTCATTAGTTTTTCTGCACGCTTATTACCTTAACCTCCGGTTATGGCGAGCTCTGGACAAGTAGGTACAACGTAATAAATATTAGCCGCTCTCCCATGTTTTGCATGTTTGTAATAATTCTAAGGATCTGGGAGAAAGAGGGTTGTTAGTAATTTGGACTAATAACCCCATTGTTAGCTATGTACTATATCAGGTTGACCTCCACGGGTTTCTTCTGAAAACCACCTTGATAAATCTCATGAACGCTCTATTTTTACGTCAAAGTAGATTAAGATCCGTTCAGCCGTTTATTTGAGAAATGGTAACAGAAATATAAAATCATTTTGATTCTACATATGCCTTTTTATGGATATGATCGAGATTCCACGAGTATGTCATTAGTGGATGTTTTCAACACACGAAGACACTATTTTCTGATTGATCGCGTTATAGTTTATTATCTAATTATGAGTCATCGCAATAGTTAGAGATTACTTTCGCTATCGCAAGAACAAGCGAGTTCGCTCAAAGTTCGTTCACACTAATTAATTTTAACAGTTTTAAATAATTTTTTAGTACCAATAGTCTATTGTATATAATTTTATGTTATGGATGTCAAGTACAGTATTATAGTTTGACAATAAAATGCAGTTTTTACATTTAAATACCACAAAAAAAAAGAACTATGATTTTTTCATCTTAACTCTATGTGGTATTTATTACCTGTATGTTTTTTTATATACAACTATGGTGGCAAACTATGTTACATTACAATTGTTAAATAAAGTTTATTTTTTAACTGTAGTCAAAAGCGAATAGATTTAAGTTCCAAGGGGTTAATACACACTATATTGTATACCATTTAACATTTTTAATACAACAAAGTTTAAATATTATATCAATAATATGAATCTACTGCTATGTCAGTTCAATATAATGACGTTGATGTCTAATGTATGGTACGAGCAGCATTGTCAGAAATGGAGGACTATATCGTGTTATCACAGATAAGATATGTATGGTACCGTGTGTAGTCATTGCTATCATCATTTTATATTCGCTTTAACAGATTAGAAATAATGTTGATTCAGAATAGAACTTTGTGAATCAAATTTAAATTTAATTATACTTAAATTTTTTTTACAATTATTATAAAAAAGACATTTTGCGTCAAAGTAATACTATACTAATTACAAAAAACAGTTTTTACATACATCAAAATATAAACTATTTTTTATTTTTCAATAATAATTATTAGATATTTTAGAACAATTACTAATAAATAAAAAAACATGATTCGTTTATAAAATCATTTTTCTATTAAATACTGTAGATTACATAGCCAATGTATAGTTACTATAAGAACTATTGAAACTGATTGAGGTGCTAATTTGTATGTTTCGTCACGGGATGGGCCACAACCCCGCAAGCGGCACCCTCCGCGGCCGCCGCTTTTCACCGCTGCTGCGCGTACGCTTACCCAATATAAAAGCCTCTGCCGCCCATTCACCCGCCCGCAGTCTGTGCTCAAACGTAACAGTGTCCACTTCTCCTGTGCAAGGACTTATAGTTCAAACATGAATTCACGGTGTTTAGTAGTGTTCGCAGCCGCCCTCGTCGTGGGTATGTAGCATTCCAACTATTTAGGGTGCGGCGACGCGAGCCGATCGGAACAAGTGATCAGCGAAACCAGTGCTTGCTCTTGTATGAGCCGATATCACTGCACCCGTCGGATCGCTGAGCTGCAGTGTGATCGATAACAGTTTCCACACAAAATCGTCGCAACTGTGCAACAAAAGTGTTGAGAATAGAGAAATTGCAATCGATGTGGTGTAACGTTTACTTTTTAGTGCGATCCCACACTATTCAACATACTGTGATATTTCTGCAACATGTCGTTGACCTCGGAAAATCTCAGCATTTTTGTTGCATATATATTTTATTACACTATTGTATATATGGCCTTCGAAACTCTCTCAGAACTTGTTATCATCCAAGTTGTTTGTATAATATCAATAACGAGTGGAATTTGTATATGGATTATTATATTTATATCGATGTTGAACTGAAAGTGTTTAAGAGTCTGCATTACATTATACACTTTCACTTCGTTTTGTAATTTAAATCAATGAAAGCTTAACTGTTTCCATAATATTCTATAACATTTCATAATAGTTTATAACTCTTCTGGGTTATAAACTTAAAATGCGGAATTAAAGAGTCATATAGATCGATTCGCTAATAAACAATTCATAAATTATAGACAATAAATAACAAAATTATACTACGTCGATATTAAAATTTTGTTGTCTGTTTTATAAATTGAATTATAATATTATTTAATTTTATTAGTCCATATGACATTTTAAACTGAAATATGAATGAGTTGAGTAATAAATGTATTAATGTAAATTAAACCAAATCAGGTTTCACAACGATTACTATGGTTTTTCGCAACAAGCATTAACATGGCCCTGGGCTTTAATATTCTAGGTTACGGCACATATGCCCCTGTTGCAACGTAATCGATTTATTGAGAACCCATTGTAAAAATGTAACTATTAATAGATACATATCAAGATAGAAAATTAGGTATTATTAAAACTCTATATAATTGACAAGTCATAGATTCATATATACGATAGTATTATCTTGAACACAAAATGCGTTGTAATATGTGTACCTATTTAGATATATGCAGATATTACATAGATTACAACGCTTATCCTAAGATTTTGAAGATAAAAATAAATATAAAACTATCGCAACGTATAAATGCTGCTTTGAAAAATGATTAATTATAGGCATAAATATTACAATATAATATCGATGTACCAAATAATCATCGAAAATACTCATTGCACGGACAATGACCCGGAATAAAATGTTGCATCCATCACAGTTGTGTTGTAGCGTCACGGACTTGACTAAAATGTTAAGAGAATGTCTGACAGGATGTTCTGCCTTGACTTTGTGGATAGATATGAATATAGTAGTTGTTGTTTAGAATTTTCGACACGTATCCAGTTCTCAGAGGCGCAGTGAACACGACACTTAAGCAAGTTCTAATATTTCCAATATGTTTTCTAATAAATAATTAAATGTATTACTCAGTATTGCCATTCACATATAGTTTATAAACGATATTTACTACGCAATGAAATATTCATAGTGCGAGCGTGAAACTATTCAATTATAAAGGCTCGCGATGCGTGCACGAATTTCACGACAAAAAAGATAACAAGGTGAAAATGATTCAGCTTGAATGCGCATGGATTCAGTGATCATATCACACTGATTTTTATAACTATTTCAGAAGCATATACCTATAACATAGAGTCTCTATTATCTACAAATAACGATACGAATTGTTAAATATAAAATTGATACACCTTAGGTAATGTTAGTTCCTTTTAAATAATGTAATGATTTAAACAGAAATCAAATTAAAAGATAGTAATTTGGAACATAAAATATTGTTTATGTGATCATTACCCAGAAAATCTATCTTATATACACACGTATACAGGATAATGTATTTACTGATATTTAAATTATGTTAATAGTGTCATATCTATATTGCTAGATTGATCTAAATATGTACATTTATATGTATAAAGAATAAAAATAGATGAGAAAACAGTAAACAATTATTTAGGGAAAAGTAATGATACATATATACGTATTAAATTTTGTTAATTATGTAGTAACATCTTAATTAACAATAAGAACCTATCCAACTGATTTGCAGCTGCTGCATGCGAATGCATGTCATTCTGAGGTCACATTAAGACCTCCTTATACTAATTATGTAAGAGGTCAGTTACAACCACCGGAAACATACATGTAGGTAATTAAAGATTTTGCTTTTGAACAATACAACGGAAACCAAATGGCAAAATTCTTTTAACAATGCTATCTCACGGCACTGTCTGAGTTCTGAGGCCTCAAACAATGCATCATTGATTCTAGCACATCTATTCTCATCGCAAGATAAATACAATGTATCACGAGATGAACTATCAGAAAACATATAGATCGTTAACAGAATCATCAAACAAAATGGCATTGTTCAATATAATATTGTATAGATAGGTAATACAATCGAGAAAGTTAATAACATAATCGAATACGAAAGACAATCGATTATAGATTTTCTCCAATTTTCTCAGTGTTTCTCTTAAGTACACAGCAACATTGTATTTCTCACATAAACTCGTTTCAAGACAGCACTTTGTACGGAACGGTGACTGTCTGTCCTTCAACCAGACGATATAAATAACCTCTTGTTAGCCCTTCTGTATTGTATTTTTTAAGATACATCCTTTACTGGCATTCTGTGGTTTTTCCTCTGCAATGTCTTTCAGTATTATATGATTACTTCAATGCGATTATATGAACATAAATATAATTTTCAGGGTCATATTCGTTCCTTACAATATAAATAAAAGTATATTGATTATCAATATAATAATATATCAGCATTAATGCAAACATATGTAAAACTAGATATAGTTAATTTTTCATTTTTAAAATTTATTTGATCAAGTATCATTTTTCTTTCATTTTAAAACATAGTAGACATTATCTCTTATTATATTGGTATAAAAATATATTGAATTGTAAAAGAGCAATATATGTTTAAAACATTAATATTAATGGTTGCTATTTTGAACATAATATAAAAAAATGTCTCAGTTTGGAGTAAGAAGCATTGTTATACAAGAGAGTAGGTACTTTACATTTACGAGAAAAATAATGCAATGAAAGTAACAGATGTTCCGAAATGGCACTATGAAATTGAATTACTTTATGTAACTATTACGTACTGGCTTGGCACCTGCATAATGAATTTTTACATATATTTATTATGTTAGGCAGGTTTTCACTGGAAAAGTGAAGATTTAAAATTGGAAGATGAGATTAAAAACGACACCGAATAGAAAAGGGCGCACAAAATTATATTTTGTAGTAGTTTTTAACCAATCAGAAACGTTTTTGTCAAAAATATACCAAAACATCTCTTCTAAATTAAAAAATATATTTTAATGAGAAACAAGATCTTATTTTATTATAATGTTGTGTTTATTTCATTTTTTGTAAACCACCAACTGAATTTCTTTTTAAGACAAATAATTATTATTTATCTAATAATACTGATATAAAAAAAATAAAAAGTTGTTAAATATATTTTAAAACTATATTAAACTATTGACAATCTGACTCTTGGATAAAACAGCATCATCAAGTCGTTACTATAAATGTATCGTGCACATAAAGAAATAAAAATGAGAGCTCACGAACTTTCACCGGCGTGTGTTCAACAATAGTTATCTAATACTATTTTAAATGTTACGTCAGTGTGGACCAGTCGTGTCAGGTGTAGGTAATCGCACCTTGTAGATCACAATTAAAGAAATTACTCTGAGAGAAAGACGTTGCGTGTTGTTCGCTTCTTTTATTGGCTTTCTCAGACAGCCTGCTTGTTGACTGTAAACGAAAGCGATCGTAATATTAGCGGGCTGACATTGATTGTCTCAATTAGACGTGAAATCTTTAGCGCACAGTCATATACCATCTGTACTGTCATCAAACATAAATGACTTAATTGCATCACGTGCATTAGTTCGATTTATCATGCTCAATTAAGCATTACATTAACATAAATTAGCTTAAATATTAATGTATGCTTAAGAGGCCTTTCACATTTTTTGGCCTAAAAGCAGTGTCTTTGGGGTTCTGGTTCTAAGAAATTAAGAGTCGGATATACATTTTGATTCCTGAATTATATAGATAGATATCTAATCTTAAAAACAACATCTTTGAAATGTTAATTTTCTCTTTGTTAGTCTTCCTAATTTCTAAAATAGTTTATTCAAAAACGCTAAATGACAGAAGTTTGGGGTCGTCGTTCATTAATAAACAAACATAAATTGATATGATATCTGTACTAAAACTTGATAATTACTTCATAAATTGAGACAGCATCGTCCTTTTTTTCATTTTCAACTTAAATATCTAAAAAATTGATCATAATTAAACCCGAAATTTCAACAAAACTTTGCCATAATCATTTCTAATTTTCTCATAAATACAACGAAATTTTTGCATAAAAAAAACATAATAATAAAGTTAATATACTTGTAAATTAGAAATATGAAAAAAAAATAAGTTTCTAAGAAAAAAATAAACAATAATAATAATTGAAAGTTGTATAAATTCCGTTGCGCCAAAAGTAAATTCTCAGTGCTGCGCTAGCGCTCGTCGAGGTAGGACCTATGCCATTTTTTACAACACCGCTAAGATAAGACATTTGTCAGTGAACATTAGTATAGAGCGACTAAACCATTTTGATAATTTAAGTAATATTTAATTAATTTTGCTAATATATACTTATTTCTACGAATATTAATTTAAAGTTGTTGTTAAATATATATATATATATATATATATATATATATATATATATATATATATATATATATATATATATATATATATATATAATATTTATTTTAGCATGCCAAGACAAAAGTACAGTTATGCTACAAATAAAACCTACCTACCCTGCTGGACTATGACAAGCACAAGAGCATGGTATTTCGTCACACTTATGGCAATTA